CGATCGTTACAGTCAGGAACTCCGCCAAGTAACGGATGCGTACAACGAAGAAATAGAAAGAGTTCAAAAAAATTCTCAAAAAGCGCAAGAATTTCATCGACTTGCAATACAGACTCGATTTTCTGGAAAAAAATAATAAAAAGACTAAAAACATACGAGTCAGAAATAGAGATGCTGCGTACTCAACTGAAGAACCTAGGAAGATCAGAGAGCCCTAAACCATCTCTTGAAGCTCAAAATATTGAGTCAAAAAAGAAGGTTGCAGACTTAGAAGCTATGCTTGACGCTGAGTACGAAGATATGCAACATTCTTTAAGTGCTGCTGCACAAACTGATGTAACGATGTCACACATTGCTGAACTGCAAGATGAAATTGGCTTCCTAAAAGAACTTGAATCTAAACTGAGAAATGACGTAAAGAGTCTGATGGACGAGAGTAACCAACGTGAGGTCAACCACTCATTTAAAATCTCAGATATACGATGCCATAATGATTCTACTATAAAAGAGCTTCAGGATCAAATGGCTGAACTGGAATGCCAAAACGAAATCTGGATTATGAAAAGTGCCCCTCTTTATAACCCGTGAAATAGCCCTAGTTCTAATTAAATTTCAGTTCAAGCTTCCAAAATGACTTCCGACAATATTAAAGTAGCCACAAAGATCAGACCAATGATCCACCGCGAAGTAGCCGATGGTCTAGAGCGTCTTTGGAACGTAAGAGTAAACTGCATATGGGAAGCCGATGAAAGTAGTCGCCATGGAGAGGTTTATATATTCGACCATGTATTTAAGCAGGAATGTACAAATTCAGATGTATATGGATCTGTAGTAAAACCTTTAGTCGATTCCTTCATGGAAGGTTTCAATGCCACAATATTTGCATATGGCCAAACATCTTCTGGCAAAACACACACCATTTTGGGCAATAAAACAGATCCTGGGCTTTTCCAATTAGTATCCAATCAGTTATTCCAGCATGTGGCAGACCAGGTTGATAAGAGGTACTTGATTAGATGCAGTTATATTGAAATCTACAATGAAAAGATCAATGACCTCCTGGATAAGAGCAATCAGGGTTTAACTATAAGAGAAGATATCAAAGGAAATGTGCTGCTTGATGCAAGGGAAGCTGTCGTAGACAATGTTGATAAAGTTATGGAGAACATGATGCAGGGCAATAAGATCAGACGAGTTGCAACTACTCGCATGAATGAGAGGTCATCTCGATCACACACGATTTTCCGGATTATTCTGGAGTCGAAAGATGCCAATCAGAAAGATGGACCTGTACATATAAGCTACCTTAACTTAATGGACTTAGCTGGTTCTGAGAGAGTTTCTCTGACGAAAGCTGCTGGTGAGCGTCTTAAAGAGGGGGCTAACATAAACAAATCTTTGTCAGTATTAGGAAATGTGATAAGGCAACTAAGCGAGGGGAAGGAGTTTATCAGTTATCGCGATTCGAAATTGACTAGACTGCTCTCACAGGCTCTTGGCGGTAATGCCAAATCATTGATTATCGGGAATGTTACTTTAGCTGCAGAGGAGGAGACTAGATCTACACCAGAATTCGCCCAAAGCACTAAAACTGTCAAAAATAAAACGAAAGTAAACATCTTGTCAGCTACAGAAGAGACACTTCAAGGATATCAGAACTTGACTCGCGATCTCGAAACTCGGCTCAAAAAGCAGGCAATTAAGCTAAAAGAGATGGATAAAAGCAAACAAGAGTATCTGCTCGAGATAGAAAGACTAAAAACGGAAGTATCTATTGTCGGGCGCTTTCAAATGGGAGCCTCGGCATCAACACCGAAAAAAACATTAAGACGTCATACTTTTGGACACTATGGCAACGTATCACCTAAAAAAGCATCCCTAGGGTATATGCCATTGAAAAATTATCCACCCAAAGAAGAATCATCCGGACGTGAAATGAGGCCTATTCAAGAAGAGACATATGAGGAGGCACTAGCCGAAGCAGAATCTGTGATAGCTGAAGACGTGCAAGTGTACTTAAAAGACAACGCAAAGAACTGGAAGAATCTTTCAATGAGCTTAGAGAATTCACTAAACTAGATAATCAGCTGGAGATGTTGGACCTGAAGAAACAGCTCACAGAAGCCAATTCTAAAATCGATCGTTACAGTCAGGAACTCCGCCAAGTAACGGATGCGTACAACGAAGAAATAGAAAGAGTTCAAAAAAATTCTCAAGAAGCGCAAGAATTTCATCGACTTGCAATACAGACTCGATTTTCTGGAACAAAATAATAAAAAGACTAAAAACATACGAGTCAGAAATAGAGATGCTGCGTACTCAACTGAAGAACCTAGGAAGATCAGAGAGCCCTAAACCATCTCTTGAAGCTCAAAATATTGAGTCAAAAAAGAAGGTTGCAGACTTAGAAGCTATGCTTGACGCTGAGTACGAAGATATGCAAGATTCTTTAAGTGCTGCTACACAAACTGATGTAACGATGTCACACATTGCTGAACTGCAAGATGAAATTGGCTTCCTAAAAGAACTTGAATCTAAACTGAGAAATGACGTAAAGAGTCTGATGGACGAGAGTAACCAACGTGAGGTCAACCACTCATTTAAAATCTCAGATATACGATGCCATAATGATTCTACTATAAAAGAGCTTCAGGATCAAATGGCTGAACTGGAATGCCAAAACGAAATCTGGATTATGAAAAGTGCCCCTCTTTATAACCCGTGAAATAGCCCTAGTTCTAATTAAATTTCAGTTCAAGCTTCCAAAATGACTTCCGACAATATTAAAGTAGCCACAAAGATCAGACCAATGATCCACCGCGAAGTAGCCGATGGTCTAGAGCGTCTTTGGAACGTAAGAGTAAACTGCATATGGGAAGCCGATGAAAGTAGTCGCCATGGAGAGGTTTATATATTCGACCATGTATTTAAGCAGGAATGTACAAATTCAGATGTATATGGATCTGTAGTAAAACCTTTAGTCGATTCCTTCATGGATGGTTTCAATGCCACAATATTTGCATATGGCCAAACATCTTCTGGCAAAACACACACCATTTTGGGCAATAAAACAGATCCTGGGCTTTTCCAATTAGTATCCAATCAGTTATTCCAGCATGTGGCAGACCAGGTTGATAAGAGGTACTTGATTAGATGCAGTTATATTGAAATCTACAATGAAAAGATCAATGACCTCCTGGATAAGAGCAATCAGGGTTTAACTATAAGAGAAGATATCAAGGAAATGTGCTGCTTGATGCAAGGGAAGCTGTCGTAGACAATGTTGATAAAGTTATGGAGAACATGATGCAGGGCAATAAGATCAGACGAGTTGCAGCTACTCGCATGAATGAGAGGTCATCTCGATCACACACGATTTTCCGGATTATTCTGGAGTCGAAAGATGCCAATCAGAAAGATGGACCTGTACATATAAGCTACCTTAACTTAATGGACTTAGCTGGTTCTGAGAGAGTTTCTCTGACGAAAGCTGCTGGTGAGCGTCTTAAAGAGGGGGCTAACATAAACAAATCTTTGTCAGTATTAGGAAATGTGATAAGGCAACTAAGCGAGGGGAAGGAGTTTATCAGTTATCGCGATTCGAAATTGACTAGACTGCTCTCACAGGCTCTTGGCGGTAATGCCAAATCATTGATTATCGGGAATGTTACTTTAGCTGCAGAGGAGGAGACTAGATCTACACCAGAATTCGCCCAAAGCACTAAAACTGTCAAAATAAAACGAAAGTAACATCTTGTCAGCTACAGAAGAGACACTTCAAGGATATCAGAACTTGACTCGCGATCTCGAAACTCGGCTCAAAAAGCAGGCAATTAAGCTAAAAGAGATGGATAAAAGCAAACAAGAGTATCTGCTCGAGATAGAAAGACTAAAAACGGAAGTATCTATTGTCGGGCGCTTTCAAATGGGAGCCTCGGCATCAACACCGAAAAAAACATTAAGACGTCATACTTTTGGACACTATGGCAACGTATCACCTAAAAAAGCATCCCTAGGGTATATGCCATTGAAAAATTATCCACCCAAAGAAGAATCATCCGGACGTGAAATGAGGCCTATTCAAGAAGAGACATATGAGGAGGCACTAGCCGAAGCAGAATCTGTGATAGCTGAAGACGTGCAAGTGTACTTAAAAGACAACGCAAAGAACTGGAAGAATCTTTCAATGAGCTTAGAGAATTCACTAAACTAGATAATCAGCTGGAGATGTTGGACCTGAAGAAACAGCTCACAGAAGCCAATTCTAAAATCGATCGTTACAGTCAGGAACTCCGCCAAGTAACGGATGCGTACAACGAAGAAATAGAAAGAGTTCAAAAAATTCTCAAGAAGCGCAAGTATTTCATCGACTTGCAATACAGACTCGATTTTCTGGAAAAAAATAATAAAAAGACTAAAAACATACGAGTCAGAAATAGAGATGCTGCGTACTCAACTGAAGAACCTAGGAAGATCAGAGAGCCCTAAACCATCTCTTGAAGCTCAAAATATTGAGTCAAAAAAGAAGGTTGCAGACTTAGAAGCTATGCTTGACGCTGAGTACGAAGATATGCAAGATTCTTTAAGTGCTGCTACACAAACTGATGTAACGATGTCACACATTGCTGAACTGCAAGATGAAATTGGCTTCCTAAAAGAACTTGAATCTAAACTGAGAAATGACGTAAAGAGTCTGATGGACGAGAGTAACCAACGTGAGGTCAACCACTCATTTAAAATCTCAGATATACGATGCCATAATGATTCTACTATAAAAGAGCTTCAGGATCAAATGGCTGAACTGGAATGCCAAAACGAATCTGGATTATGAAAAGTGCCCCTCTTTATAACCCGTGAAATAGCCCTAGTTCTAATTAATTTCAGTTCAAGCTTCCAAAATGACTTCCGACAATATTAAAGTAGCCACAAAGATCAGACCAATGATCCACCGCGAAGTAGCCGATGGTCTAGAGCGTCTTTGGAACGTAAGAGTAAACTGCATATGGGAAGCCGATGAAAGTAGTCGCCATGGAGAGGTTTATATATTCGACCATGTATTTTAGCAGGAATGTACAAATTCAGATGTATATGGATCTGTAGTAAAACCTTTAGTCGATTCCTTCATGGATGGTTTCAATGCCACAATATTTGCATATGGCCAAACATCTTCTGGCAAAACACACACCATTTTGGGCAATAAAACAGATCCTGGGCTTTTCCAATTAGTATCCAATCAGTTATTCCAGCATGTGGCAGACCAGGTTGATAAGAGGTACTTGATTAGATGCAGTTATATTGAAATCTACAATGAAAAGATCAATGACCTCCTGGATAAGAGCAATCAGGGTTTAACTATAAGAGAAGATATCAAAGGAAATGTGCTGCTTGATGCAAGGGAAGCTGTCGTAGACAATGTTGATTAAGTTATGGAGGACATGATGCAGGGCAATAAGATCAGACGAGTTGCAGCTACTCGCATGAATGAGAGGTCATCTCGATCACACACGATTTTCCGGATTATTCTGGAGTCGAAAGATGCCAATCAGAAAGATGGACCTGTACATATAAGCTACCTTAACTTAATGGACTTAGCTGGTTCTGAGAGAGTTTCTCTGACGAAAGCTGCTGGTGAGCGTCTTAAAGAGGGGGCTAACATAAACAAATCTTTGTCAGTATTAGGAAATGTGATAAGGCAACTAAGCGAGGGGAAGGAGTTTCTTGGCGGTAATGCCAAATCATTGATTATCGGGAATGTTACTTTAGCTGCAGAGGAGGAGACTAGATCTACACCAGAATTCGCCCAAAGCACTAAAACTGTCAAAAATAAAACGAAAGTAAACATCTTGTCAGCTACAGAAGAGACACTTCAAGGATATCAGAACTTGACTCGCGATCTCGAAACTCGGCTCAAAAAGCAGGCAATTAAACTAAAAGAGATGGATAAAAGCAAACAAGAGTATCTGCTCGAGATAGAAAGACTAAAAACGGAAGTATCTATTGTCGGGCGCTTTCAAATGGGAGCCTCGGCATCAACACCGAAAAAACATTAAGACGTCATACTTTTGGACACTATGGCAACGTATCACCTAAAAAAGCATCCCTAGGGTATATGCCATTGAAAAATTATCCACCCAAAGAAGAATCATCCGGACGTGAAATGAGGCCTATTCAAGAAGAGACATATGAGGAGGCACTAGCCGAAGCAGAATCTGTGATAGCTGAAGACGTGCAAGTGTACTTAAAAGACAACTCAAAGAACTGGAAGAATCTTTCAATGAGCTTAGAGAATTCACTAAACTAGATAATCAGCTGGAGATTTTGGACCTGAAGAAACAGCTCACAGAAGCCAATTCTAAATTCGATCGTTACAGTCAGGAACTCCGCCAAGTAACGGATGCGTACAACGAAGAAATAGAAAGAGTTCAAAAAAATTCTCAAAAAGCGCAAGAATTTCATCGACTTGCAATACAGACTCGATTTTTCTGGAAAAAAATAATAAAAGACTAAAAACATACGAGTCAGAATAGAGATGCTGCGTACTCAACTGAAGAACCTAGGAAGATCAGAGAGCCCTAAACCATCTCTTGAAGCTCAAAATATTGAGTCAAAAAAGAAGGTTGCAGACTTAGAAGCTATGCTTGACGCTGAGTACGAAGATATGCAACATTCTTTAAGTGCTGCTGCACAAACTGATGTAACGATGTCACACATTGCTGAACTGCAAGATGAAATTGGCTTCCTAAAAGAACTTGAATCTAAACTGAGAAATGACGTAAAGAGTCTGATGGACGAGAGTAACCAACGTGAGGTCAACCACTCATTTAAAATCTCAGATATACGATGCCATAATGATTCTACTATAAAAGAGCTTCAGGATCAAATGGCTGAACTGGAATGCCAAAACGAAATCTGGATTATGAAAAAGGACGACGAAATCAGAAAATTGCAACAACTAATTACAAACCCGAAGCAGGCTGGCACTTAACCAGAACCACCTGTGCAGGAAGACGTTGCATTTTATAGGGAGCAAGTTGAGTTCTCCCAGAACATGTACAAAAATGAGATAATAGGTGGAGAGTTACGTATAAACCATAGAGAAAATCTTCAGGCAGTTAAACTAGAAATATGTCTACCCTTGTTTAGTGTTTACGATTATTGCAGGGTTTGGACAAAGTCTAGGGCTGATCCCAGTGCTCACAGTGTACAATTTTCAGCTAATAAATCTTGAATTCTGAGGTAACAAATCAACTAGAACTCTGAAAAGTGATTTATCAGAAATCATGCCCTTACTTCCATGATGAGAGGGATTCGTAAAAATTATAAGCAGGTTGTGGCTTATTATCTAGTAAAAGATACAAGAATCCCAGATCTGAAAACGATTATTGTTCATGTGATCACAAACTAGCAGCGACTTGGTTTGTGCGTTGTTGGCACTATTTCTAATCAGGGCGCAACGATCAAAAACGCACTTGAGACGATTTGCTCGGAGAATACTCACGGATCAAGTCCATTCCATTTTATAGTCAATGCTCAGAGTATTTCTACAATTTGTGATGAACCTCATTTATTCAAAAATGGATGAAATGCTCTTATTGACATTAATATGAAAGTGAAGAAGCTGCACAGATTGAACATGTCTAGAAATCATATAATGTTGATCAGCAAACAAGACCATACAAAGAGCTATGTAAATTGAAACCCAGCCACTTTGATTTTATAGATTCGTTCAAGAATATAGAAATTAATCCTTTAATGATATCGTCGGATGATTCGAGCTTTCTCAGTTATGTGGTGGGGGTCCCGTGACTTCTCATACGGTATGAGCACGTATACCTCAAACCACAGTTTAATTTAAACATCACAATTGTTGGTTGTTGACTTTGCGGTCAAATTTGATCCGAGGATGTCAGTTGCGTGTACGATTTGAACTTCCTTCACAATGGATTTTTTCGTTGTTGACGGATGAACAATACACTATAGACTACGCCGAGGACGACGCTGCTATCGATCAACCTGAACAACTTCCTATGGGCGACCTCGCTATGCCTATGGAAAAAACATGTACAATTGGTCAAAACGAGCGCCTGCAACTGGTCGATTATTACGCATTTACCTGAACTAAAGTCCGTGGCAACCAATTTGGAAAATAATAACCCTGTGACTCGAGAAATGCCGATAAATTTCTCCAAATACGTGAAATTTTCGAGACACTCATAGAGAACTGTCGAAATTGTTATATTTCGGGTGAGTCCCCTACAAAATACGAGATGCTCGTGGGCCGATGTCCTTCCTGTGCCTACAAGAAAACTAAACCGAATAAGTATGGACTGATGATGCAAAGACTCACCACTACCTGCTCAATGCTTTCGTCTATACGAACAGAAATATCACAGCAGATGACTGGTTCACGTCAGTAGAATTACATGTAGAATTGCGCATCAACCAACTGACCTATGTCGGCAGGAAGCGTAAAAATAAGTAACAAGTACCCCAACATGTAGTTCCAAATAAGAAGGAAACACAGCCAGGTACTTCTAAGTTTATGTTCACTAGCACTACAGCCTTAGTGTAGTATCTTCCAAAACCAAATACACATGTTCTCGTATAGCAATCTATGCAGCATGATAACAAAATAGTAGACTAATCAAAGAAACCTGATAAGATTCTATATTATTTTTATAACACTATGAAGGCGGGGGGTAATGCATTAGATCGGAAGTGTGTAAATTACAATACTGGTTAGAGAACGAGAAGATGGCCTTGTGCTATTTGGTATCCAACCAGCTTCTGTAAATTCCTTTTTTTTCAGTCTGGGACTGAAAGTTCTATTAGGCGACGAAATTTTTTTGTTCCCCTGAGGCAAACTCTAATTTAACTTCGTATGAGAGGACGTTTATCAGATCCAAGACTTCCTAGGGAGCTTCGTTCAGCCATGCAAAGAATCCAAAATTACCAACGACGAATAAAGTAAGCCGTCTACTTCTCAGCCCAGAGTTCTCGATCCTGATGCAGTTGATAAAGGGAAAAAACGACGTAGGTGTTACATGACAATACACAATGAAAAAAATGTTCTACAATCTGTAATAAGTATGTAAAGTCACAGCGCAGCTAGATTGTTTCGTGAAAAGTGATAAATGTGAATTATTGTACGTTTCCTTATACGGGAAAGTATTTCTTTTGTTGTAGAATATCAACACCAAATATGTGTTAAATGGCCCATTTTGTTAGTTTTTTTATGTTCATATTACAGTTCAAGTTTCGTAAATTATATTTATTGCATTACTCATCTTCAAATGGGGTATTTTCGTTTTTAGACAATAAACAGTTTTCATGTAAGAGTGTCTTATGCGTACAAACCTGTTGTACACATTGCTAAAAACAGTAATGGCATTTCAGAAGTTGATAGTAAGATCCGGTGGATAAACTGTTTTGCGAGATTAGAACACGAACCCCATCTGCTTATTTGCAGCATTAAAAACTGTAATAACCAACAATTTCAGTTTTCCATTGACAATAATGAAGAATTATGAAGGCGATTCATGTAAGGCACTAGGTAACTTCGCGTTGCTTTTAGAAGAGTATTGTCTGAATAGACAACAGTTACCTTGTGATTCTTCACCGAGCTGCATTTTTCAAGTTGAAAAAATCGGGTGCTGGAAGTGATGGATCTATAGATTTGTGAGAATTTGCTGCTGCTTCAACTTCTTTTTGTAATAACAATAACAGTCTATAAGAAATTTAACAATTCTGTTTCTTCTTTGATTTTGAGTCACCCTGTAAATGTAGCTCTACTAAACTATCGGACCGCATTCATAGCCTACAAGAGAAAAAAATCTTCTATACTGGAAAGGAGGAAAAAAAGAATGTATCAACCTGATACATCTGCCCCTCTTTATAACCCGTGAAAAAGCCCTAGTCCTAATTAATTTCAGTTCAAGCTTCCAAAATGACTTCCGACAATATTAAAGTAGCCATAAAGATCAGACCAATGATCCACCGCGAAGTAGCCGATGGTCTAGAGCGTCTTTGGAACGTAAGTGAAAACTGCATATGGGAAGCCAATGAAAGTAGTCGCCATGGAGAGGTTTATATATTCGACAATGTATTTAACCAGGAATGTACAAATTCAGATGTATATGGATTTGTAGTAAAACCTTTAGTCGATTCCTTCATGGAAGGTTCAATGCAACAATATTTGCATATGGCCAAACATCTTCTGGCAAAACACACACCTTTTGGGCAATAAAACAGATCCTGGGCTTTTCCAATTAGTATCCAATCAGTTATTCCAGCATGTGGCAGACCAGGTTGATAAGAGGTACTTGATTAGATTCAGTTATATTGAAATCTACAATGAAAAGATCAATGACCTCCTGGATAAGAGCAATCAGGGTTAACTATAGAGAAGATATCAAACGTAATGTGCTGCTTGATGCAAGGGAAGCTGTCGTAGACAATGTTGATCAAGTTATGGAGACATGATGCAGGGGCAATAAGATCAGACGAGTTGCAGCTACTCGCATGAATGAGAGGTCATCTCGATCACACACGATTTTCCGGATTATTCTGGAGTCGAAAGATGCCAATCAGAAAGATGGACCTGTACATATAAGCTACCTTAACTTAATGGACTTGGCTGGTTCTGAGAGAGTTTCTCTGACGAAAGCTGCTGGTGAGCGTCTTGAAGAGGGGGCTAACATAAACAAATCTTTGTCAGTATTAGGAAATGTGATAAGGTAACTAAGCGGGGGGAAGGAGTTTATCAGTTATCGCGATTCGAAATTGACTAGACTGCTCTCACAGGCTCTTGGCGGTAATGCAAAATCATTGATTATCGGGAATGTTACTTTAGCTGCAGAGGAGGAGACTAGATCTATCTAGACTAGAATTCGCCCAAAACACTAAAACTGTCAAAAATAAACCGAAAGTAAACATCTTGTCAGCTACAGAAGAGGCACTTCAAGGATATCAGAACTTGACTCGCGATCTCGAAACTCGGCTCAAAAAGCAGGCAATTAAGCTAGAAGAGATGGAGAAAAGCAAACAAGAGTATCTGCTCGAGATAGAAAGACTAAAGACGGAAGTATCTATTGTCGGGCGCTTTCAAATGGGAGCCTCGGCATCAACACCGAAAAAAATATTAAGACGTCATACTTTTGGAGACTATGGCAACGTATCACCTAAAAAAGCATCACAAGGGTATATGCCATTGAAAAATTATCCACCCAAAGAAGAATCATCCGGACGTGAAATGAGGCCTATTCAAGAAGAGAGACATATGAGGAGGCACTAGCCGAAGCAGTATCTGTGATAGCTGAAGACGTGCCTGCAAGTGTACTTAAAAGACAACTCAAAGAACTGGAAGAATCTTTCAATGAGCTTAGAGAATTCACTAAACTAGATAATCAGCTGGAGATTTTGGACCTGAAGAAACAGCTCACAGAAGCCAATTCTAAAATCAATCGTTACAGTCAGAAACTCTGCCAAGTAACGGATGCGCACAATGAAGAAATAGAAAGGGTTCAAAAAAATTCTCAAAAAGCGCAAGAATTTCATCGACTTGCAATACAGACTCGATTTTCTGGAAAAAAATTATAAAAAGACTAAAAACATACGAGTCAGAAATAGAGATGCTGCGTACTCAACTGAAGAACATAGGAAGATCAGAGAGCCCTAAACTATCTCTTGAAGCTCAAAATATTGAGCCAAAAAGAAGGTTGCAGACTTAGAAGCTATGCTTGACGCTGAGTACGAAGATATGCAAGATTCTTTAAGTGCTGCTACACAAACTGCTGTAACGATGTCACACATTGCTGAACTGCAAGATGAAATTGGCTTCCTAAAAGAACTTGAATCTAACTGAGAAATGACATAAAGAGTCTGATGGACGAGAGTAACCAACGTGAGGTCAACCACTCTTTTAAAATCTCAGATATACGATGCCATAATGGTTCTATTATAAAGAGCTTCAGGATCAAATGGCTGAACTGGAATGCCAAAACGAAATCTGGATTATGAAAAATGACGACGAAATCAGTAAATTGCAACAACTAATTACAAACCCGAAGCAGGCTGGCACTTAACCAGAACCACCTGTGCAGGAAGACGTTGCATTTCATAGGGCGCAAGTTGAGTTCTCCCAGAACATGTACAAAAATGAGATAATAGGTGGAGAGTTACGTATAAACCATAGAGAAAATCTTCAGGCAGTTAAACTAGAAATATGTCTACCCTTGTTTAGTGTTTACGATTATTGCAGGGTTTGGACAAAGTTTAGGGCTGATCCCACGGACCACGATAGCACCTAGGACTTAAGATTGTGAATCTAGTCTTGGTAACCGCTCACAGTGTACAATTTTCAGCTAATAAATCTTGAATTCTGAGGTAACAAAATCAACTAGAACTCTGTAAAAGTGATTTATCAAAAATCATGCCCTTACTTCCATGATAAGAGGAATTCGTAAAAATTATAAGCAGGTTGTGGCTTATTATCTAGTAAAAGATACAAGAATCCAGATCTGAAAACGATTATTGTTCATGTGATCACAAACTTGCAGCGACTTGGTTTGTGCGTCGTTGGCACTATTTCTAATCAGGGCGCAACGATCAAAAACGCACTTGAGACGATTTGCTCGGAGAATACTGGCGGATCAAGTCCATTCCATTTTATAGTCAATGCTCAGAGTATTTCTACAATTTGTGATGAACCACATTTATTCAAAAATGGATGAAATGCTCTCATTGACATTAATATGAAAGTGAAGAAGCTGCACAGATTGAACATGTCTAGAAAGCATATAATGTTGATCAGCAAACAAGACCATACAAAGAGCTATTCGTTCAAGAATATAGAAATTAATCCTTTAATGGTATCGTCGGATGATTCGAGCTTTCTCAGTTATGTGGTGGGGGTCCCGTGACTTCTCATACGGTATAAGCACGTATACCTCAAACCACAGTTTAATTTAAACATCACAAGTGTTGGTTTGTTGACTTTGCGGTCAAATTTGATCCGAGGATGTCAGTTGCGTGTACGATTTGAACTTCCTTCACAATGGATTTTTTCGTTGTTGACGGATGAACAATACACCATAGACTACGCCGAGGACGACGCTGTTATCGATCAACCTGAACAACTTCCTATGGGCGACCTCGCTATGCTTATGGAAAAAACATGTACAATTGGTCAAAACGAGCGCCTGCAAATGGTCGATCAGACGACAATATTATTACGCATTTACCTGAACTAAAGTCCGTGGCAACCAATTTGGAAAATAATACCCTGTGACTCGAGAAATGCAGATAATTAACACTCATAGAGAACTGTCGAAATTGTTATATTTCGGGTGAGTCCCCTACAAAATACGAGATGCTCGTGGGCCGATGTCCTTCCTGTGCCTACAAGAAAACTAAACCGAATAAGTTAGTATGGACTGATGATGCAAAGACTCACCACTACCTGCTCAATGCTTTCGTCTATACGAACAGAAATATCACACCAGATGACTGGTTCACGTCAGTAGAATTACATGTAGAATTGCGCATCAACCAACTGACCTATGTCGGCAGGAAGCGTAAAAATAAGTAACAAGTACCCCAACATGTAGTTCCAAATAAGAAGGAAAACACAGCCAGGTACTTCTAAGTTTATGTTCACTAGCACTACAGCCTTAGTGTAGTAGTATCTTCCAAAACCAAATACACATGTTCTCGTATAGCAATCTATGCAGCATGATAACAAAATAGTAGACGAATCAAAGAAACCTGATAAGATTCTATATTATTTTATAACACTATGAAGGCGGGGGGTAATGCATTAGATCGGAAGTGTGTAAATTACAATACTGGTTAGAGAACGAGAAGATGGCCTTGTGCTATTGGTATCCAACCAGCTTCTGTAAATTCCTTTTTTTTCAGTCTGGACTGAAAGTTCTATTAGGCGACAAAATTTTATTGTTCCCCTGAGGCAAACTCTAATTTAACTTCGTATGAGAGGACGTTTATCAGATTCAAGACTTCCTAGGGAGCTTCGTTCAGCCATGCAAAGAATCCAAATTACCAACGACGAATAAAGTAAGCCGTCTACTTCTCAGCCCAGAGTTCTCGATCCTGATGCAGTGTTAAAGGGAAAAACGACGTAGGTGTTACATGACAATACACAATGAAAAAAATGTTCTACAATCTGTAATAAGTATGTAAAGTCACAGCGCAGCTACAATTGTTTCGTGAAAAGTGATAAATGTGAATTATTGTACGTTTCCTTATACGAGAAAGTATTTGTTTTGTGTAGAATATCAACACCAAATATGTGTTAAATGGCCCATTTGTTAGTTTTTTTATGTTCATATTACAGTTCAAGTTTCGTAAATTATATTTATTGCATTACTCATCTTCAAATGGGGTATTTTCGTTTTTAGACAATAAACAGTTTTCATGTAAGAGTGTCTTATGCGTACAAACCTGTTGTACACATGGCTAAAAACAGTAATGGCATTTCAGAAGTTGATAGTAAGATCCGGTGGATAAACTGTTTTGCGATAGAGTGGATTAAACACGAACCCCATCTGCTTATTTGCAGCATTAAAAACTGTAATAATCCAACAATTTCAGTTTTCCATTGACAATAATGAGAATTATGAAGGCGATTCATGTAAGGCACTAGGTAACTTCGCGTGCTTTTAGAAGAGTATTGTCTGAATAGACAACAGTTACTTGTGATTCTTCACCGAGCTGCATTTTTCAAGTTGAAAAATCGGGTGCTGAAGTGATGGATCTATAGATTTGTGAGAATTTGCTGCTGCTTCAACTTCTTTTTGTATAACAATAACAGTCTATAAGAAATTTAACAATTCTGTTTCTTCTTTGATTTTGAGTCACCCTGTAAATGTAGCTCTACTAAACTATCGGACCGCATTCATAGCCTACAAGAGAAAAAAATCTTCTATACTGGAAAGGAGGAAAAAAAGAATGTATCAACCTGATACATCTGCCCCTCTTTATAACCCGTGAAAAAGCCCTAGTCCTAATTAAATTTCAGTTCAAGCTTCCAAAATGACTTCCGACAATATTAAAGTAGCCATAAAGATCAGACCAATGATCCACCGCGAAGTAGCCGATGGTCTAGAGCGTCTTGGAACGTAAGTGAAAACTGCATATGGGAAGCCAATGAAAGTAGTCGCCATGGAGAGGTTATATATTCGACAATGTATTTAACCAGGAATGTACAAATTCAGATGTATATGGATTTGTAGTAAAACCTTTAGTCGATTCCTTCATGGAAGGTTTCAATGCAACAATATTTGCATATGGCCAAACATCTTCTGGCAAAACACACACCTTTTGGGCAATAAAACAGATCCTGGGCTTTCCAATTAGTATCCAATCAGTTATTCCAGCATGTGGCAGACCAGGTTGATAAGAGGTACTTGATTAGATTCAGTTATATTGAAAATCTACAATGAAAAGATCAATGACCTCCTGGATAAGAGCAATCAGGGTTTAAACTATAAGAGAAGATATCAAACGGAATGTGCTGCTTGATGCAAGGGAAGCTGTCGTAGACAATGTTGATCAAGTTATGGAGAACATGATGCTAGGGCAATAAGATCAGACGAGTTGCAGCTACTTCGCATGAATGAGAGGTCATCTCGATCACACACGATTTTCGGATTATTCTGGAGTCGAAAGATGCCAATCAGAAAGATGGACCTGTACATATAAGCTACCTTAACTTAATGGACTTAGCTGGTTCTGAGAGAGTTTCTCTGACGAAAGCTGCTGGTGAGCGTCTTGAAGAGGGGGCTAACATAAACAAATCTTTGTCAGTATTAGGAAATGTGATAAGGTAAACTAAGCGAGGGGAAGGAGTTTATCAGTTATCGCGATTCGAAATTGACTAGACTGCTCTCACAGGCTCTTGGCGGTAATGCAAAATCATTGATTATCGGAATGTTACTTTAGCTGCAGAGGAGGAGACTAGATCTATCAGACTAGAATTCGCCCAAACACTAAAACTGTCAAAAATAAACCGAAAGTAAACATCTTGTCAGCTACAGAAGAGGCACTTCAAGGATATCAGAACTTGAGTCGCGATCTCGAAACTCGGCTCAAAAGCAGGCAATTAAGCTAGAAGAGATGGAGAAAAGCAAACAAGAGTATCTGCTCGAGATAGAAAGGACTAAAGACGGAAGTATCTATTGTCGGGCGCTTTCAAATGGAGCCTCGGCATCAACACCGAAAAAAATATTAAGACGTCATACTTTGGAGACTATGGCAACGTATCACCTAAAAAAGCATCACAAGGGTATATGCCATTGAAAAATATCCACCCAAAGAAGAATCATCCGGACGTGAAATGAGGCCTATTCAAGAAGAGACATATGAGGAGGCACTAGCCGAAGCAGTAATCTGTGATAGCTGAAGACGTGCCTGCAAGTGTACTTAAAAGACAACTCAAGAACTGGAAGAATCTTTCAATGAGCTCAGAGAATTCACTAAACTAGATAATCAGCTGGAGATTTTGGACCTGAAGAACAGCTCACAGAAGCCAATTCTAAAATCAATCGTTACAGTCAGAACTCTGCCAAGTAACGGATGCGCACAATGAAGAAATAGAAAGGGTTCAAAAAATTCTCAAAAAGCGCAGAATTTCATCGACTTGCAATACAGACCGATTTTCTGGAAAAAAATTATAAAAGGACAAAACATACGAGTCAGAAATAGAGATGCTGCGTACTCAACTGAAGAACATAGGGAAGATCAGAGAGCCCTAAACTATCTCTTGAAGCTCAAAATATTGAGCCAAAAAAGAAGGTTGCAGACTTAGAAGCTATGCTTGACGCTGAGTACGAGATATGCAAGATTCTTTAAGTGCTGCTACACAAACTGCTGTAACGATGTCACACATTGCTGAACTGCAGATGAAATTGGCTTCCTAAAAGAACTTGAATCTAAACTGAGAAAATGACATAAAGAGTCTGATGACGAGAGTAACCAACGTGAGGTCAACCACTCTTTTAAAATCTCAGATATACGATCATAAAGGTTCTATTATAAAGAGCTTCAGGATCAAATGGCTGAACTGGAATGCCAAAACGAAATCTGGATTATGAAAAATGACGACGAAATCAGTAAATTGCAACACTAATTACAAACCCGAAGCAGCTGGCACTTAACCAGAACCACCTTGCAGGAAGACGTTGCATTTCATAGGGCGCAAGTTTGAGTTCTCCCAGAACATGTACAAAAATGAGATAATAGGTGGAGAGTTACGTATAAACCATAGAGAAAATCTCAGGCAGTTAAACTAGAAATATGTTCGACCCTTGTTTAGTGTTTACGATTATTGCAGGGTTTGGACAAGTTTAGGGCTGATCCCACGGACCACTATAGCACCTAAGGACTTAAGATGTGAATCTAGTCTTTGGTAACCGCTCACAGTGTACAATTTCAGCTAATAAATCTTGAATTCTGAGGTAACAAAATCAACTAGAACTCTGAAAAAGTGATTATTATCAGAATCATGCCTTACTTCCCATGATAAGAGGAATTCGTAAAAATTATAAGCAGGTTGTGGCTTATTATCTAGTAAAAGATACAAGAATCCCAGATCTGAAAACGATTATTGTTCATGTGATCACAAACTTGCAGCGACTGGTTGTGCGTCGTTGGCACTATTTCTAATCAGGGCGCAACGATCAAAAACGCACTTGAGACGATTTGCTCGGAGAATACTGGCGGATCAAGTCCATTCCATTTTATAGTCAATGCTAGAGTATTTCTACAATGTGTGATGAACCACATTTATTCAAAAATGGATGAAATGCTCTCATTGACATTAATATGAAAGTGAATAAGCTGCACAGAATTGAACATGTCTAGAAAGCATATAATGTTGATCAGCAAACAAGACCATACAAAGAGCTATTCGTTCAGAATATAGAAATTAATCCTTTAATGGTATCGTCGGATGATTCGAGCTTTCTCAGTTATGTGGTGGGGGTCCCGTGACTTCTCATACGGTATAAGCACGTATACCTCAAACCACAGTTAATTTAAACATCACAGTGTTGGTTTGTTGACTTTGCGGTCAAATTTGATCCGAGGATGTCAGTTGCGTGTACGATTTGAACTTCCTTCACAATGGATTTTTTCGTTGTTGACGGATGAACAATACACCATAGACTACGCCGAGGACGACGCTGCTATCGATCAACCTGAACAACTTCCTATGGGCGACCTCGCTATGCCTATGGAAAAAACATGTACAATTGGTCAAAACGAGCGCCTGCAACTGGTCGATTATTACGCATTTACCTGAACTAAAGTCCGTGGCAACCAATTTGGAAAATAATAACCCTGTGACTCGAGAAATGCCGATAAATTTCTCCAAATACGTGAAATTTTCGAGACACTCATAGAGAACTGTCGAAATTGTTATATTTCGGGTGAGTCCCCTACAAAATACGAGATGCTCGTGGGCCGATGTCCTTCCTGTGCCTACAAGAAAACTAAACCGAATAAGTATGGACTGATGATGCAAAGACTCACCACTACCTGCTCAATGCTTTCGTCTATACGAACAGAAATATCACAGCAGATGACTGGTTCACGTCAGTAGAATTACATGTAGAATTGCGCATCAACCAACTGACCTATGTCGGCAGGAAGCGTAAAAATAAGTAACAAGTACCCCAACATGTAGTTCCAAATAAGAAGGAAACACAGCCAGGTACTTCTAAGTTTATGTTGTACAGCCTTAGAGTAGTATCTTCCAAAACCAAATACACATGTTCTCGTATAGCAATCTATGCAGCATGATAACAAAATAGTAGAGGAATCAAAAGAACCTGATAAGATCCTATATTATTTATAACACTATGAAGGCGGGGGGTAATGCATTAGATCGGAAGTGTGTAAATTACAATACTGGTTAGAGAACGAGAAGATGGCCTTGTGCTATTTGGTATCCAACCAGCTTCTGTAAATTCCTTTTTTTTCAGTCTGGGACTGAAAGTTCCATTAGGCGACGAAATTTTATTGTTCCCCTGAGGCAAACTCTAATTTAACTTCGTATGAGAGGACGTTTATCAGATCCAAGACTTCCTAGGGAGCTTCGTTCAGCCATGCAAAGAATCCTAAATTACCAACGACGAATAAAGTAAGCCGTCTACTTCTCAGCCCAGAGTTCTCGCATCCTGATGCAGTTGTTAAAGAAAAAAAACGACGTAGGTGTTACATGACAATACACAATGAAAAAAATGTTCTACAATCTGTAATAAGTATGTAAAGTCACAGCGCACTTACATTGTTTCGTGAAAAGTGATAAATGTTAATTATACGAGAAAGTATTTGTTTTTGTTGTAGAATATCAACACCAAATATGTTGTTAAATGGCCCATTTTGTTAGTTTTTTTATGTTCATATTACAGTTCAAGTTTCGAGGATTATATTTATTGCATCTTCAATGGGGTATTTTCGTTTTTAGACAATAACAGTTTTCATGTAAGAGTGTCTTATGCGTACAAACCTGTTGTACACATGGCTAAAAACAGTAATGGCATTTCAGATGTTGATAGTAAGATCCGGTGGATAACCTGTTTTGCGAGATTAGACGTGGGATTTCCAACACGAACCCCATCTGCTTATTTGCAGCATTAAAAACTGTAATAATCAACAATTTTCAGTCTTCCATCGACAATAATGAAGGAATTATGATGCGATTCATGTAAGGCACTAGGTAACTTCGCGTTGCTTTTAGAAGAGTATTGTCTGAATAGACAACAGTTACCTTGTGGATTCTTCACCGAGCTGCATTTTTCAAGTTGAAAAAATCGGGTGCTGAAGTGATGGATCTATAGATTTGTGAGAATTTGCTGCTGCTTCAACTCTTTTTGTAATAACAATAACAGTCTATAAGAAATTTAACAATTCTGTTTCTTCTTTGATTTTGAGTCACCCTGTAAATGTAGCTCTACTAAACTATCGGACCGCATTCATAGCCTACAAGAGAAAAAAATCTTCTATACTGGAAAGGAGGAAAAAAAGAATGTATCAACCTGATACATCTGCCCCTCTTTATAACCCGTGAAATAGCCCTAGTTCTAATTAAATTTCAGTTCAAGCTTCCAAAATGACTTCCAACAATATTAAAGTAGCCACAAAGATCAGACCAATGATCCACCGCGAAGTAGCCGATGGTCTAGAGCGTCTTTGGAACGTAAGAGTAAACTGCATATGGGAAGCCGATGAAAGTAGTCGCCATGGAGAGGTTTATATATTCGACCATGTATTTAATCAGGAATGTACAAATTCAGATGTATAGGATCTGTAGTAAAACCTTTAGTCGATTCCTTCATGGAAGGTTTCAATGCCACAATATTTGCGATATGGCCAAACATCTTCTGGCAAAACACACACCATTTTGGGCAATAAAACAGATCCTGGGCTTTCCATTAGTATCCAATCAGTTATTCCAGCATGTGGCAGACCAGGTTGATAAGAGGTACTTGATTAGATTCAGTTATATTGAAATCTACAATGAAAAGATCAATGACCTCCTGGATAAGAGCATCAGGGTTTAACTATAAGAGAAGATATCAAAGGAAATGTGCTGCTTGATGCAAGGGAAGCTGTCGTAGACAATGTGATCAAGTTATGGAGGAACATGATGTTGGGCAATAAGATCAGACGAGTTGCAGCTATTCGAATGAATGAGAGGTCATCTCGATCACACACGATTTTCCGGATTATTCTGGAGTCGAAAGATGCCAATCAGAAAGATGGACCTGTACATATAAGCTACCTTAACTTAATGGACTAGCTGGTTCTGAGAGAGTTTCTCTGACGAAAGCTGCTGGTGAGCATCTTAAAAGAGGGGGGCTAACATAAACAAAATCTTTGTCAGTATTAGGAAATGTGATAAGGCAACTAAGCGAGGGGAAGGAGTTTATCAGTTATCGCGATTCGAAATTGACTAGACTGCTCTCACAGGCTCTTGGCGGTAATGACAAATCATGATTATCGGGAATGTTACTTTAGCTTCAGAGGAGGAGACTAGATCTACACTAGAATTCGCCAAAGCACTAAAACTGTCAAAACTAAACCGAAAGTAAACATCTTGTCAGCTACACAAGAGGCACTTCAAGGATATCAGAACTTGACTCGCGATCTCGAACTCGGCTCAAAAAGCAGGCAATTAAGCTAGAAGAGATGGAGAAAAGCAAACAAGAGTATCTGCTCGAGATAGAAAGACTAAAAACGGAAGTATCTATTGTCGGGCGCTTTCAAATGGGAGCCTCGGCATCAACACCGAAAAAACATTAAGACGTCATACTTGTGGAGACTAGGCAACGTATCACCTAAAAAAGCATCCCTACGGTAATAGCCATTGAAAAATTATCCACCCGAAGAAGAATCATCCGGACGTGAAATGAGGCCTATTCAAGAAGAGACATATGAGGAGGCACTAGCCGAAGCAGAATCTGTGATAGCTGAAGACGTGCCTGCAAGTGTACTTAAAAGACAACTCAAAGAACTGGAAGAATCTTTCAATGAGCTCAGAGAATTAACTAAACTAGATAATCAGCTGGAGATTTGGACCTGAAGAAACAGCTCACAGAAGCAATTCTAAATCGATCGTTACAGTCAGGAACTCCGCCAAGTAAACGGATGCGTACAACGAAGAAATAGAAAGAGTTCAAAAAAATTCTCAAAAAGCGCAAGAATTTCATCGACTTGCAATACAGACTCGATTTTCTGGAAAAAAATAAAAAAAGACTAAAAACATACGAGTCAGAAATAGAGATGCTGCGTACTCAACTGAAGAACCTAGGAAGATCAGAGAGCCCTAAACCATCTCTTGAAGCTCAAAATATTGAGTCAAAAAAGAAGGTTGCAGACTTAGAAGCTATGCTTGACGCTGAGTACGAAGATATGCAACATTCTTTAAGTGCTGCTGCACAAACTGATGTAACGATGTCACACATTGCTGAACTGCAAGATGAAATTGGCTTCCTAAAAGAACTTGAATCTAAACTGAGAAATGACGTAAAGAGTCTGATGGACGAGAGTAACCAACGTGAGGTCAACCACTCATTTAAAATCTCAGATATACGATGCCATAATGATTCTACTATAAAAGAGCTTCAGGATCAAATGGCTGAACTGGAATGCCAAACGAAATCTGGATTATGAAAAAGGACGACGAAATCAGAAAATTGCAACAACTAATTACAAACCCGAAGCAGGCTGGCACTTAACCAGAACCACCTGTGCAGGAAGACGTTGCATTTTATAGGGAGCAAGTTGAGTTCTCCCAGAACATGTACAAAAATGAGATAATAGGTGGAGAGTTACGTATAAACCATAGAGAAAATCTTCAGGCAGTTAAACTAGAAATATGTCTACCCTTGTTTAGTGTTTACGATTATTGCAGGGTTTGGACAAAGTTTAGGGCTGATCCCAGTGCTCACAGTGTACAATTTTCAGCTAATAAATCTTGAATTCTGAGGTAACAAAATCAACTAGAACTCTGAAAAAGTGATTTATCAGAAATCATGCCCTTACTTCCATGATAAGAGGGATTCGTAAAAATTATAAGCAGGTTGTGGCTTATTATCTAGTAAAAGATACAAGAATCCCAGATCTGAAAACGATTATTGTTCATGTGATCACAAACTAGCAGCGACTTGGTTTGTGCGTTGTTGGCACTATTTCTAATCAGGGCGCAACGATCAAAAACGCACTTGAGACGATTTGCTCGGAGAATACTCACGGATCAAGTCCATTCCATTTTATAGTCAATGCTCAGAGTATTTCTACAATTTGTGATGAACCACATTTATTCAAAAATGGATGAAATGCTCTTATTGACATTAATATGAAAGTGAAGAAGCTGCACAGATTGAACATGTCTAGAAATCATATAATGTTGATCAGCAAACAAGACCATACAAAGAGCTATGTAAATTGAAACCCAGCACTTTGATTTTATAGATTCGTTCAAGAATATAGAAATTAATCCTTTAATGATATCGTCGGATGATTCGAGCTTTCTCAGTTATGTGGTGGGGGTCCCGTGACTTCTCATACGGTATGAGCACGTATACCTCAAACCACAGTTTAATTTAAACATCACAATTGTTGGTTTGTTGACTTTGGCCGAGGACGACGCTGCTATCGATCAACCTGAACAACTTCCTATGGGCGACCTCGCTATGCCTATGGAAAAAACATGTACAATTGGTCAAAACGAGCGCCTGCAACTGGTCGATTATTACGCATTTACCTGAACTAAAGTCCGTGGCAACCAATTTGGAAAATAATAACCCTGTGACTCGAGAAATGCCGATAAATTTCTCCAAATACGTGAAATTTTCGAGACACTCATAGAGAACTGTCGAAATTGTTATATTTCGGGTGAGTCCCCTACAAAATACGAGATGCTCGTGGGCCGATGTCCTTCCTGTGCCTACAAGAAAACTAAACCGAATAAGTATGGACTGATGATGCAAAGACTCACCACTACCTGCTCAATGCTTTCGTCTATACGAACAGAAATATCACAGCAGATGACTGGTTCACGTCAGTAGAATTACATGTAGAATTGCGCATCAACCAACTGACCTATGTCGGCAGGAAGCGTAAAAATAAGTAACAAGTACCCCAACATGTAGTTCCAAATAAGAAGGAAACACAGCCAGGTACTTCTAAGTTTATGTTGTACAGCCTTAGAGTAGTATCTTCCAAAACCAAATACACATGTTCTCGTATAGCAATCTATGCAGCATGATAACAAAATAGTAGAGGAATCAAAGAAACCTGATAAGATCCATATTATTTTTATAACACTATGAAGGCGGGGGGTAATGCATTAGATCGGAAGTGTGTAAATTACAATACTGGTTAGAGAACGAGAAGATGGCCTTGTGCTATTTGGTATCCAACCAGCTTCTGTAAATTCCTTTTTTTTTCAGTCTGGGACTGAAAGTTCCATTAGGCGACGAAATTTTATTGTTCCCCTGAGGCAAACTCTAATTTAACTTCGTATGAGAGGACGTTTATCAGATCCAAGACTTCCTAGGGAGCTTCGTTCAGCCATGCAAAGAATCCTAAATTACCAACGACGAATAAAGTAAGCCGTCTACTTCTCAGCCCAGAGTTCTCGATCCTGATGCAGTTGTTAAAGAAAAAAAACGACGTAGGTGTTACATGACAATACACAATGAAAAAAATGTTCTACAATCTGTAATAAGTATGTAAAGTCACAGCGCACTTACATTGTTTCGTGAAAAGTGATAAATGTTAATTATTGTATGTTTCCTTATACGAGAAAGTATTTGTTTTTGTTGTAGAATATCAACACCAAATATGTTGTTAAATGGCCCATTTTGTTAGTTTTTTTATGTTCATATTACAGTTCAAGTTTCGAGGATTATATTTATTGCATTACTCATCTTCAATGGGGTATTTTCGTTTTTAGACAATAAACAGTTTTCATGTAAGAGTGTCTTATGCGTACAAACCTGTTGTACACATGGCTAAAAACAGTAATGGCATTTCAGATGTTGATAGTAAGATCCGGTGGATAACCTGTTTTGCGAGATTAGACGTGGGATTTCCAACACGAACACCATCTGTTTATTTGAAGCATTAAAAACTGTAATAATCAACAATTTCAGTTTTCCATTGACAATAATGAAGAATTATGAAGGCGATTCATGTAAGGCACTAGGTAACTTCGCGTTGCTTTTAGAAGAGTATTGTCTGAATAGACAACAGTTACCTTGTGATTCTTCACCGAGCTGCATTTTTCAAGTTGAAAAATCGGGTGCTGAAAGTGATGGATCTATAGATTTGTGAGAATTTGCTGCTGCTTCAACTTCTTTTTGTAATAACAATAACAGTCTATATGAAATTTAACAATTCTGTTTCTTCTTTGATTTTGAGTCACCCTGTAAATGTAGCTCTACTAAACTATCGGACCGCATTCATAGCCTACAAGAGAAAAAAATCTTCTATACTGGAAAGGAGGAAAAAAATGTATCAACCTGATACATCTGCCCCTCTTTATAACCCGTGAAATAGCCCTAGTTCTAATTAAATTTCAGTTCAAGCTTCCAAAATGACTTCCAACAATATTAAAGTAGCCACAAAGATCAGACCAATGATCCACCGCGAAGTAGCCGATGGTCTAGAGCGTCTTTGGAACGTAAGAGTAAACTGCATATGGGAAGCCGATGAAAGTAGTCGCCATGGAGAGGTTTATATATTCGACCATGTATTTAATCAGGAATGTACAAATTCAGATGTATATGGATCTGTAGTAAAACCTTTAGTCGATTCCTTCATGGAAGGTTTCAATGCCACAATATTTGCATATGGCCAAACATCTTCTGGCAAAACACACACCATTTTGGGCAATAAAACAGATCCTGGGCTTTTCCAATTAGTATCCAATCAGTTATTCCAGCATGTGGCAGACCAGGTTGATAAGAGGTACTTGATTAGATGCAGTTATATTGAAATCTACAATGAAAAGATCAATGACCTCCTGGATAAGAGCAATCAGGGTTTAACTATGAGAAGATATCAAAGGAAATGTGCTGCTTGATGCAAGGGAAGCTGTCGTAGACAATGTTGATAAAGTTATGGAGAACATGATGCAGGGCAATAAGATCAGACGAGTTGCAGCTACTCGCATGAATGAGAGGTCATCTCGATCACACACGATTTTCCGGATTATTCTGGAGTCGAAAGATGCCAATCAGAAAGATGGACCTGTACATATAAGCTACCTTAACTTAATGGACTTAGCTGGTTCTGAGAGAGTTTCTCTGACGAAAGCTGCTGGTGAGCGTCTTAAAGAGGGGGCTAACATAAACAAATCTTTGTCAGTATTAGGAAATGTGATAAGGCAACTAAGCGAGGGGAAGGAGTTTATCAGTTATCGCGATTCGAAATTGACTAGACTGCTCTCACAGGCTCTTGGCGGTAATGCCAAATCATTGATTATCGGGAATGTTACTTTAGCTGCAGAGGAGGAGACTAGATCTACACCAGAATTCGCCCAAAGCACTAAAACTGTCAAAAATAAAACGAAAGTAAACATCTTGTCAGCTACAGAAGAGACACTTCAAGGATATCAGAACTTGACTCGCGATCTCGAAACTCGGCTCAAAAAGCAGGCAATTAAGCTAAAAGAGATGGATAAAAGCAAACAAGAGTATCTGCTCGAGATAGAAAGACTAAAAACGGAAGTATCTATTGTCGGGCGCTTTCAAATGGGAGCCTCGGCATCAACACCGAAAAAAACATTAAGACGTCATACTTTTGGACACTATGGCAACGTATCACCTAAAAAAGCATCCCTAGGGTATATGCCATTGAAAAATTATCCACCCAAAGAAGAATCATCCGGACGTGAAATGAGGCCTATTCAAGAAGAGACATATGAGGAGGCACTAGCCGAAGCAGAATCTGTGATAGCTGAAGACGTGCAAGTGTACTTAAAAGACAACGCAAAGAACTGGAAGAATCTTTCAATGAGCTTAGAGAATTCACTAAACTAGATAATCAGCTGGAGATTTTGGACCTGAAGAAACAGCTCACAGAAGCCAATTCTAAAATCGATCGTTACAGTCAGGAACTCCGCCAAGTAACGGATGCGTACAACGAAGAAATAGAAAGAGTTCAAAAAAATTCTCAAAAAGCGCAAGAATTTCATCGACTTGCAATACAGACTCGATTTTCTGGAAAAAAATAAAAAAGACTAAAAACATACGAGTCAGAAATAGAGATGCTGCGTACTCAACTGAAGAACCTAGGAAGATCAGAGAGCCCTAAACCATCTCTTGAAGCTCAAAATATTGAGTCAAAAAAGAAGGTTGCAGACTTAGAAGCTATGCTTGACGCTGAGTACGAAGATATGCAAGATTCTTTAAGTGCTGCTACACAAACTGATGTAACGATGTCACACATTGCTGAACTGCAAGATGAAATTGGCTTCCTAAAAGAACTTGAATCTAAACTGAGAAATGACGTAAAGAGTCTGATGGACGAGAGTAACCAACGTGAGGTCAACCACTCATTTAAAATCTCAGATATACGATGCCATAATGATTCTACTATAAAAGAGCTTCAGGATCAAATGGCTGAACTGGAATGCCAAAACGAAATCTGGATTATGAAAAGTGCCCCTCTTTATAACCCGTGAAATAGCCCTAGTTCTAATTAAATTTCAGTTCAAGCTTCCAAAATGACTTCCGACAATATTAAAGTAGCCACAAAGATCAGACCAATGATCCACCGCGAAGTAGCCGATGGTCTAGAGCGTCTTTGGAACGTAAGAGTAAACTGCATATGGGAAGCCGATGAAAGTAGTCGCCATGGAGAGGTTTATATATTCGACCATGTATTTAAGCAGGAATGTACAAATTCAGATGTATATGGATCTGTAGTAAAACCTTTAGTCGATTCCTTCATGGAAGGTTTCAATGCCACAATATTTGCATATGGCCAAACATCTTCTGGCAAAACACACACCATTTTGGGCAATAAAACAGATCCTGGGCTTTTCCAATTAGTATCCAATCAGTTATTCCAGCATGTGGCAGACCAGGTTGATAAGAGGTACTTGATTAGATGCAGTTATATTGAAATCTACAATGAAAAGATCAATGACCTCCTGGATAAGAGCAATCAGGGTTTAACTATAAGAGAAGATATCAAAGGAAATGTGCTGCTTGATGCAAGGGAAGCTGTCGTAGACAATGTTGATAAAGTTATGGAGAACATGATGCAGGGCAATAAGATCAGACGAGTTGCAGCTACTCGCATGAATGAGAGGTCATCTCGATCACACACGATTTTCCGGATTATTCTGGAGTCGAAAGATGCCAATCAGAAAGATGGACCTGTACATATAAGCTACCTTAACTTAATGGACTTAGCTGGTTCTGAGAGAGTTTCTCTGACGAAAGCTGCTGGTGAGCGTCTTAAAGAGGGGGCTAACATAAACAAATCTTTGTCAGTATTAGGAAATGTGATAAGGCAACTAAGCGAGGGGAAGGAGTTTATCAGTTATCGCGATTCGAAATTGACTAGACTGCTCTCACAGGCTCTTGGCGGTAATGCCAAATCATTGATTATCGGGAATGTTACTTTAGCTGCAGAGGAGGAGACTAGATCTACACCAGAATTCGCCCAAAGCACTAAAACTGTCAAAAATAAAACGAAAGTAAACATCTTGTCAGCTACAGAAGAGACACTTCAAGGATATCAGAACTTGACTCGCGATCTCGAAACTCGGCTCAAAAAGCAGGCAATTAAGCTAAAAGAGATGGATAAAAGCAAACAAGAGTATCTGCTCGAGATAGAAAGACTAAAAACGGAAGTATCTATTGTCGGGCGCTTTCAAATGGGAGCCTCGGCATCAACACCGAAAAAAACATTAAGACGTCATACTTTTGGACACTATGGCAACGTATCACCTAAAAAAGCATCCCTAGGGTATATGCCATTGAAAAATTATCCACCCAAAGAAGAATCATCCGGACGTGAAATGAGGCCTATTCAAGAAGAGATATGAGGAGGCACTAGCCGAAGCAGAATCTGTGATAGCTGAAGACGTGCAAGTGTACTTAAAAGACAACTCAAAGAACTGGAAGAATCTTTCAATGAGCTTAGAGAATTCACTAAACTAGATAATCAGCTGGAGATTTTGGACCTGAAGAAACAGCTCACAGAAGCCAATTCTAAATTCGATCGTTACAGTCAGGAACTCCGCCAAGTAACGGATGCGTACAACGAAGAAATAGAAAGAGTTCAAAAAAATTCTCAAAAAGCGCAAGAATTTCATCGACTTGCAATACAGACTCGATTTTCTGGAAAAAATAATAAAAAGACTAAAAACATACGAGTCAGAAATAGAGATGCTGC